CAGAATACAACAGCTCAGTGGGCAGGATTCTTCCATCTACATTGAGTGCATGGATGGGGGAATTGAGTCTGTCTATGGGCTGCCTTAATCTGGAGCATTAGGTTAGCCACAGGTTTAATTGGATGTAGGCAAGTGGGACTTATGGAAACTGGCAATTAACTCTGAATTTCTTTTTAACATGTCTTTCAGCAATGGCCAGTTATATTGTATTAAACCATTAATTTTATCCTTAGCTTTTAACTCTCCATATTTAAAGATCTTTTTCCATAAAGCTCATTCAGTAGGTTTGCCTTTTCAGTCCCATTTCATTTTGTGGAGCAAAATATAGGATGTTTGTATAGATGAACAGGCGATCTTCTGAGGTTTAGGTCCATGGAGGTGAATGAACAGCCAAGCCAACAGTCTATGCCCAGTAAGAAGTGTGCTAACTGATAACATTTATTGCACCTAGTTTTGTCTGTTGATTCTGCAGTGGACACACAGTCCAGCTAGGACCTTTGTCCTTTGAACATTATACACACACATTTTGTGTAATGTTTTGATTATAATTTACTGGCACTGTAAACTAAATTGTATCCTGTTAACTGTACCCTGAAATATTATTATGATGATTGTTTTATGTTTTCAGTAAACAAAGAACTTTGTATAATACTGACCACACAATCCATCTCTACAAAATAGTGAATCATTATTTTTCTTTAGTTTTATAGCTGGGGAAAACATTCACCGTGATTATATTTTAACCACTGTGCTAACACATTGATCCAAAAAATTCCTCTACTCTGATTTAAGCTCTGATAAATGGAGCTGGCCAACCAGCAGTGTCTGTACTTTAAACAAATTTTAGTCAACATGTGCCTGAAAAAAATTACGAAATATTACGGCACAGGAGGGACTATGAATCAACCTGGTCCAATCATTTAAAGTGTGCTTTTGGAATTAAACTGTATAGCTGCCCTCTGCAAAATCTTTTGTGGCAAATCAGTGATGGACAGAGTGAGGTGGAAAAAACTTACACGCCAAGAACAGCTATGACATGCTATGACTTTGTGGTACGCAGAAATCTTTGGATACTGTTGGTGTGCATTTTTACAAATAACACAGAAACTTACAGCTGTGCTCAAAAGTTTGCATACCCTGGCAGAAATTGTGAAATGTTGGCATTTATATTGAAAATATGACTGATGATGCCAAAAATTGTCTTTTATTTAGGGATAGTGATCATATGAAGCCATTTATTATCACACAGTTGTGTGGCTGTTTTTTAAATCATAATGATAACAGAAATCACCCAAGTGGCCCTAAACAAAAGTTTACATACCCTGAAATGTTTGACCTTGGTACAGACATACTAAAATGGGTATTAAAGGTTAATTTCCCACATCTGTGGCTTTTTAAATTGAATTGCAGTTAGTGTCTATGTATAAAAAGTTAATGAGTTTTTTAGCTTTTAGGAGGATGCACTGAGCAGGCTAGATACTGAGCCATGGGTAGCAGAAAAGAACTGTCAAAAGACCTGTGTAACAAGGTAGGTAATGGAAGGTAATGGAAATTTATAAATTTGGAAAAGGATATAAAAAGATATCCAAAGCCTTGAATATGCCAGTCAGTACTGTTCAATCACTCATTAAAAAAGTGGAAAATTTGAAGATCTCTTGAGCCAAGGTCAGGTAGACCATGAAAGATTGCAACCACAACTGCCAGAAGAATTGTTTGGGATACAAAGAAAAACCCACAAGTAACCTCAGGAAAAATACAGGTTGCTCTGGAAAAAGATGGTGAGGTTGTTTCAAGGACCACAAAATGGCAATACTTTAAAAAAAATTAACTACATGGTTAAGTTGCCAGAAAGAAGTCTTTACTGTGCCAATACCACAAAAAAAGCAACAATATGCCCCACAACTCATTGACATGTTTTGAGTGGTTAAAAAAAGCTCTTTCATCTAGACCCAGAGAGAATTGGACGTTTTTAAGTAGTGGCATGGGGAACTTGTTACGACACCTCCATACTAGTTTCAAAATTATAAGTTTAGTGGTTGGTGTGGGGTCAATGGCTTGTGTGTACAAAGTACTGTATGATGTTTTTCAGCCCACAAGTGCTTTCTCAGCATCCACCAACTCTCCAATAGTCCAATACAAAGTCTTGATGAGTAATGAGGCTTTATAATATTTTCTAATATCTGGGAGGCTCAAGGCTTCATTAGTTGTTGTTCAGATTAGTGCCTGGAGATGGATTGTGGGATTTGTATGTGACCACAGCAATCAATGAATTTGAAATGTAAGGATCTAAGAAAATGTGCAGCAAGTGAAATAAGCAACATTTGAAACATAAACAAAATATGGGGGTAGAGCATTCATTTTGATGATTCTGATGTGGCCAGACCAGAAAAATTTAGGGTTGTCCCATCTGCACAGGTTGTCCACAAACTGGCTGTAAAGAAGTTGGAAGTTACCACTAAAACGATCTGAGTACTGAGCTGTTAGGTCAATTACTAGGTATTTTAACATTTGTTCTCACCAGGTACTGTGATTGTAGATGAGTGACCTTGGCGGGGAAAAAAAATCATGTTTAAAATTTCAGATTTAGCTGAGTTGATTTTGAAATTCGAGATGAGGCCACATTTATGAAATGCATGCATGAGTATTGGGAGAGTAAGTGGTTATGTACATATAATAAAACATAGTATGGATAGTTTGTCTTATGGCATAGTGTGGCTAGGGAGGGCTCAAAGAAGAATCTGAAGAACAGAGGGGGCAATGGACAACCTTTCCTGGTTCCGTTAAAGAGATCAATGATAGGTGAAGTAACCCCATTAACTGTAGCTGTAGGGTGGTTATATAAGGCTATAGTTCTAGAGAGAATGCTTGGGCTCAGGCATATGTGTTGCATAGCAATGTGCATGAAAGACCAATCTACATGGTTCAATGCCTTTTTGGTGTCAGTGGATATAATGAGTTAAGGGTATTTTGTGTATTTCAGCATAGGGTGTAAGATTGATTGTAGAGAATCTTTGCTGACTTCTCTCCCTTGAACAAAGGCATCTTTGTTCCAAGAGATCCAAGAAGGTGGAAGTGGTTTGAGGGATGAGGCCAGAATATTTGTGCATATTTTTATTGATGTTGATCAGGAAGATTGGCCTGTAACATTGACATTGACAGAGGGTCTCCCCTTCCTTCTTCATAATTCTAATGTGAGCTAATTTTTACTCTAGGACAGACCAAAAGTGATCGACTTGTATAAATTGAGGTAGTAGAAGGGTGAGGATCTGTTCTAATAGTTTATAGTATTTGACCATGGAGCTGTATGGGCTCTTCATTGGGTACATCCATCAGTTCTCATAGGTTTCTTTTAGCCAGACTCTTTGTGCAGTTTTCTAGTCTTTAATTTTTAATCTTGGGCAATTATCTTGCTTTATATAAAGGCTTTATGTGCTTCCCACAATACAGTGTGTGTGTCAGGAATGGACTTGCCAGTAATAGTGGGACTCACCTGCCTTGTGGGCTGCAGTACCAGGGATGGCCAGCGGGTGCCTGCTCTCAGCAATCAGAGACTCAACCCTGCAGTCAGCCAAACACCTGAAGCTGATTACGAGGTGTATTTAAGGGATGGCCAGACCTGCAGTCTGTGCCTTGGTGTGTGTTTTTCCATGGGCCCCTGTATCTTGTTACCTGCATTCCTGTTCCTGTTCCTGTCTGACTGATTCGTTGCTGACCCTGCCTGATCCGGACCTCTGCTGACTTCTCCTGTTTGATCCCTGGCTTGTGACCCCGACCATTCTCTGCCTGACCCCCTGTACCTACCTGCCCGTTAGTTGCTGTACTCGGCTCGTGACCTGACTACTCTCTGCCTGCTCCTCCTGTTCCTACCTGCCCGATTGTTATTGACCCGGCCTGCCTGACGACGCTTGCATTGTATGTATTGTTATCTGTGGGTGGTTTGGTTTGGTTCGTTTGCACTGTGTTATGTTTTAGTATTGCACTGCGTTTATGTATTGTTAGTATTAATAAATTATATTGTTTATAACATATCTGAAGCCTGCGTTTCCCTGCGTCAGTTCACATACCTCTGGTCATACCCGGAGCCCTGACATTACACCAAGGCCAATCCTGACCAGAAGTGGCTGCACAGGGAAGCCATCTTGGCTTGTTGCTGGGAAGGATGGATCTTGATGAGGTTGTGTATTTGTCGCTGCTGGTTTTTGATGACAGAGAATATGCTTATCAGACTCTGAGGGAGTATACCCGGGATCAACTGCTAGAATGTATACGGATCGCTCATGTTCTAGTAGATCAGGGCACAGAGTTCTCTGAGGTGCAACCTTTGATTCAGGTTTGTGTAGAGTTGGCTTCATCTGGTACCCCTGAAAGCAGGAATTACTTTTTGCCACCATTTAGTGCAGACCAGGTAGAGTCCCTGGTATGGTTATTAGAGGATGATGTGGATTGCTTCTTGGAGCATTATGCTTCATGTTCACCACAGGTATTAAGGGATTGTATAAACGCAGTGCAGTCTTTGACCAGACAGGCTTTGTGTAAGCTCAGCTTTGTTCAACCCATACTGCAGACATGGTCAGACTTGTTGCACCCAGCCTCAGTCAGCTTGCAACGTCATTCCTCTGCTCGAGGCACTCTTCCTGCATCCCCGACAGCACCCTCAGTGACGGCCCAGTATACTCTGCTAACTACCACATACCAGTCTCCTGCTCCCACATCGCTGCACCTATCCTTTCTTTGGCCCTGTGGAGAGGTCCTCTGTGGCGGCTGCTCCCTCCTCTGTTCCATCTTCCAGCTCTTCCCTGTCCTCAGCTGCTCCATTCGTTTGCAGACCTGTGTTTACTTGCAGTGCTCCAGTAGTTAAAACCAGAAAAAAAGCGAAAATTCTTTCCAACCAGTACCATCCTGCCAGTATCCAAACCGGTGAGCCTGCCGTCTGAGAACCTGCCTTCCGTGGTTCAGCCTGGTGCCTCGGCACCCGCACTTCAGCCTGATGTCCCTACCCAGCCTGATGTCCCTACCCAGCCTGATGAACTGATCCAGCCTGACAATCCAATGCCTGATGACCCAGTGCCCGCTGTCATGCCTGGTGACCCGATGCCCGCTGTCGAGCCAGACGATCCGGTACCTGATGACCCAGTGCCCACTGTCATGCCTGGTGACCCGATGCCCGCTGTCGAGCCAGATGATCCAGCGCCAGATGACCCGGTGCCTGCTGTCGAGCCAGACGATCCGGTACCTGATGACCCGGTGCCCGCTGTCGAGCCAATTGACTCAGAGCCCACTGTCGTGCCTGGTGACTCGGTGCCCACTGCCTTGCCAGATGACGCGGTGCCCGCTGTCGAGCCAAATGACCTGATGCCTGGTGACCTGATGCCCGCTGTCGAGCCAGACGATCCAATGTCTGACCCAGTGCCCGCAGTCATGCCAGTTGACTTGGAACCCACTGTCGTGCCTGGTGACTCGGTGCCCACTGCCTTGCCAGATGACGCGGTGCCCGCTGGCGAGCCAAATGACCTGATGCCTGGTGACCCGATGCCCGCTGTCGTGCCTGACGACACGGCGCCCGCCGCTCCGCCTGGGGGCCCGATGCCTGCCGCTCCACCCGGGGGCCCGGTGCCTGCCGCCCCTCCTGGGGGCCCGGTGCCCGCCGTCCCGCCTGGGGGCCCGCGCCCGCCACTCCGCCTGGGGCCCGGCGCCCGCCGCTCCGCCTGGGGGCCCGATGCCTGCCGCTCCGCCTGGGGGCCCAATGCCTGCCGCTCTGTCCGGGGGCCTGGTGCCTGCCGCCCCTCCTGGGGGCCCGGCGCCCGCCGCTCCGCCCGGGGGCCCGGCGCCCGCTGCCCCGCCTAGGGGCCCTGTGCCCGCCGCCCCTCCTGAGGGCCCTGTGCCTGCCGCCCCGCCTGGGGGCCCTGTGCCTGCCGCTCCTCCTGGGGGCCCTGTGCCTCTGCCCGGAGTCCAGCCCATGTGGCGCTGCCCGGAGTCCAGCCCGATGTGCTGCTACCCGGAGTCCAGCCCGATGTGCCGCTACCCGGAGTCCAGCCCGATGTGCCGCTGCCCGGAGTCCAGCCCGATGTGCCGCTGCCCGGAGTTCTGCCCGATGTGCCGCTGCCCGGAGTTCTGCCCGATGTGCCAGTCTTTGATATCCCACCAGTTACCAGACCCGGGCGGTGGAACATTTTGCCCAGCTAGGACTGTTTGGAGCGTCCTGAGGCCGCTCCTTGAGGGGGGGGGGGGGTACTGTCAGGAATGGACTTGCCAGTAATGGTGAGACTCACCTGCCTTGTGGGCTGCAGTGCCAGGGCTGGCCAGCGGGTGCTCTCAGCAATCAGAGACTCAACCCTGCAGTCAGCCAAACACCTGAAGCTGATTACGAGGTGTATTTAGGGGATGGCCAGACCTGCAGTCTGTGCCTTGGTGTGTGTTTTTCCATGGGCCCCTGTATCTTGTTACCTGCATTCCTGTTCCTGTTCCTGTCTGACTGATTCGTTGCTGACCCTGCCTGATCCGGACCTCTGCTGACTTCTCCTGTTTGATCCCTGGCTTGTGACCCCGACCATTCTCTGCCTGACCTCCTGTACCTACCTGCCCGTTAGTTGCTGTACCCGGCTCATGACCTGACTACTCTCTGCCTCCTCCTCCTGTTCCTACCTGCCCGATTGTTATTGACCCGGCCTGCCTGACGACGCTTGCATTGTATGTATTGTTATCTGTGGGTGGTTTGGTTGGTTCGTTTGCACTGTGTTATGTTTTAGTATTGCACTGCGTTTATGTATTGTTAGTATTAATAAATTATATTGTTTATAACATATCTGAAGCCTGCGTTTCCCTGCGTCAGTTCACATACCTCTGGTCATACCCGGAGCCCTGACAGTGTGAGATATTAGTCCACTGTCACTGTCTTCAAAGGATGGTAGGTCCAGCTTCAAAAAGTCTAGTAATATAGGGCATAGGGTCATTCAAAAGGGTTCCACTCAGTCTTTGTGGTACTATTGCCAATTTTCAAGTCTATGACCATATTGTGATCAGATAGTACATCGCTGCCAAACTGATCAGAGGTAAATGAAAATAGAGGACAAATACCAGCTCTAATCTGGAACAGTGTATGTGCACATTGGATTAGTTCATGAAATCTTTCACAGTGAGGTGCAGAGTTCTCCATACTTCCAGGAGCTGCATTTGGTGTGCTTAATCTTCAGTTTAAAATAGGCAATGGAAGAATGGTCGGTGTATTTATTTATCTATAAGAGGGTTGAAACATACTCTAGTCTTTCTCTATTTTATTAAAGCCTTTGCAGAATGTTTCTAATTTAATAAGGGTAAAAAACAGAGAGCCCTCCTGGTGTTTTCTAGGGCAGTATAGATTATTTTGCTTTCTCCCATCTTCTTTTTAAGGTAAATAAAGCTTCCATCAGCATCTTGCATCTCTTCGTCTACTAGAAACGGAACTACTGCTAGACCACAAGATTTCCATCAGATGGAATTAGCAAAAAAACAGGAAGGGAATCTGGGAGAAAAGGGTCTACGTTTGGTAGACATCTGAAAGTATTTCCCCTGTGAGGTGCATCATTTCTTGTAAAAATGTATGCCTTTTAGCTAGAGAAGCTAGGTCTTTAACATTGTAAGATATAAACCTTTGTGATGGCATAATTAGAGTTACATCACAGAGCAATATGTAGAAAAGAAGTAACAAACTATGTGTATCACTAAACTTTTGGGGTCCTCTATAAGTATATAGGTCTGCACAGCCAGGTAACACGCATTTCCTTCCAGACTTGCACTCCAGAGACAGTAAACTGTCCTTGAATTAGTTTTTTTTGGATTTTATTAGGGGATTTGAACATGGACTTGGGGATGAGGGATACTTGGAATGCCCAAGGAACTGAGGACAACTTCCTGAAACTATGTATAAATGTTCAGAATGGTTTATCTTCTTTGGGAGAGCTGTCCAGCCTCTCCTGGCGTACCACTTCAGACGCCAGATGAAATCTCCTCTTCATCCAGCTGCCTGAGGGAATCCCGGGGCAAGAGAACCTGGAATCTACCACACTAAAATAAGCAGTCCCAAATGAGGGCTAGTCAGGTATTCCCCTTCCCCTTATCTGGCCCAGGGGAGTGTAAGATTACTCAATCAGTCTCTCTTGCAAACTTGTGTGTTGGTGGCTGCCTTCAGGCCTTATGCTGGGCTGTCTCCTTCCATGCTCCACAGGCTCTCCTCTCTAAGGAGCTGAGAGATCCTCCCTTCCAGCTCCTCTGCCTGTGGGTAGGCCCTGCTGCGGGTCTCCCTCCTTGGCTCCACACACCATCCTGCTCACTCCATCTTCCACCCAAACTCTCCTGCTACTGAGCAGGCTCGGTCACTCTTAAGGGCTGTCCTGACCGCATGCCAAGCTTCTTGCTTGTAAATTGGCCAGGATCCCTTGAGAGTGCAGACTAGCTCCTCCTCACCCCCACTCACTGAATTCTAGAGACTTCTCCAAGTCTCTAGATCGGAGGAGGTTTCAGAGAACTCTCAGCCCTGACCCAAATTTGATCTCCTGACTATTGCACAGGCTGCTGTACAGCCTCTATCTGAAAAAAACTATTATCTAGCTCCCCTGAGCTTCCCTAGGAGGATGCTACATATGTTTACAAAAGAGTTTCATATAAATTCAGGGTGTAGAGGAGGGGGAGAACAGGACCTTATGGCTTTATGAGGGGGTCAAAAGTAAAGCACTGTGGTCATAGAGGGGGAGCTTGAGAGAACAGGTCAGAAAATTCTCCAGCATGCAAGTGTTTCTCTTGCCACATCTGAATAGATGTTGATAAGATCTCTGTCAAAATCAGTGTGTGATATGCCTCTGATCCTTCTCTTCACAATAGTGGAGACAACATAGGACATCTCATGGCTCTTTTGATGGTAGGCTGCATGGATGGCTCTTATAAATGCACACTGCAAAGGCTGCGTTCAGAGTTGGCAGATCATTCCTAGACTGCACGGAATTTCTTTAACAGTGTCTTCTGGGTCACAATCTCTAATCACTTTAGTAAGGTCTCTAATGAGCAGGTTGTTAGGCTCAGACCTGTTTTCCTGATCCTCCATTTTAAACATGAGGGATCTGAGAAGAGAACTGTTTGTTTGATTTTTGTTGTAACTGCTGAATCCCTTCAGCATGTGACAATTGTTTGGTTTTAACATCTTCAGCTTTACATGTTAATAGTTTCAGATTATTTCTCAAAAGAAAATACTTTAGATTTTAATGACCTTGCAAATGGCTGCTGTAGACCATCTGCTTCCTCTTCTGCCTCAGAGTCAGATGTACGTATAGAGGAATGTCTTCTCTACCTGGGCTGCCAGGTCTTGCCCTGGACAATCTATTTGGGGATCTGCTGCACTTACCTTGTTCTCTCTGCTTGTGTCCTGTGGTTTAGGCAGATCTGGGCTAAGGCTTGTGTTTCCCTGAATTGCAGACCCCTGCAGCAGATATTGCTCAAAGTTGCCTGTTTTAGATGAGGATGGGATAGTGATAGAGGAGGTTTCCATAATTCCCTCCACTCCGAGTTTTGTTGTTTTATGACTGCTAATAAAGGAGTCCTAAAATCACAGCATACACTTTCATTTCAGAACATTAGCATTGTAATATTAATACAGATGACAGTTATTTTTCACAATTCAATATAAGCTTTCCACTAACTGGATTCCCTGCATGCTTTGTAGTTTCTCTTCTGCTGCTAACTCTCAATTTCTAAGGACTACATATTTAATTATACCTTGCTGCCTGTAACCAGTGATGCCCGTTCTGACTATGCCTCCTGAAACTCCTGCTCTAGTTCAACAGGCAGGCTCTGTGAAATGTGTGAAACAATCCATGCATTTTAACAGGGCATAATGGATACGTGTCACATAGATCAAGGAAGTAGATGTGTGGGATTCTTCAAAATGTTAGTTTACAAATTTAATGACGATGAAACATTCAGATTAATAAGAGTAGACTAGAAATAATTGAACTAAAATGTGCCAAAACATATGTAATTTTACATTTTGACCATGGATACACTTTATTGGTTAAGAGAATTCCCAGCTGTGGCTGTCTAACTGTGGGGTTAATAAAGTGCAAGAAGTAATTGAATGTTGGGAGACTGCAGGAAATAATTGAGTGCTGGCTGACAGCATTATTCAAATGTGGCCATGGTTATATTTGGTCAATGATATCACCCACATTGCCCGCTGGCTTGTTTCCAATTAGAAACAAGTTGGCAGGTGGATGAAAGCTGTCATTTAGTGGCAGTAGACATATAGCCTCTAAATAGAGGACTTCAGGTGCAGTGGCCAGGGGTTCAGACGGGCATGCAAGCATACCAGATTTGGCTGATTAGTTTGCCTGCAGACAGTTTGGGTTCTATGAACTTATAGTCAACCTGCACCCAAACACACCACTCTTCACAAGAAAAAAGAGTATTTACAATGTGTGTGTGTGTTATTTTTTTTTTCTTCTTCAAAGTATCTGAGAACCAGAGTAGTAATCCCTGGAAAAAGATTACAAGCAAACAAGAAAACAAGAGATTAAAGTTAAGATGTGATTAAAGGTACATACATAAATAGATTTTTCATACTGAGCATCTTGAGTATACAGTACTAGAGAGCCCTAATTCCCAACCTACAGACCACATGCGGCCCTTTGCAAGTTGCGTAATTTCATAGTTGTTAAGATTGAATAAAGACACCAGTCCATCCATTTCAACCTGAATGTGTTTTTATGTACCGTACTTGTATTTTGCT